AAAATTAATTTTAATTTTGATCACATTGGATCACTCAAATGTTCAAAAAAATATTCTAAAATTTTCTAAAAAAGCATAAAAATTTGTTTTTCAATATTTCAATTAATTATTATAATAATTGTAAATATTAAACAATTGTTAATGAATTCTGAACAGGCTAGTCTCCATGTTTTCGAAAATTAATTTTAATTTTGATCACATTGGATCACTCAAATATTAAAAAAAATTAAAAATTTTCTAAAAAAGTTGTAAAAATTTAATTTTGAGTATTTCAATTGTTTATTATAATAATTGTAAATATTTGACAATTATTAATAAATTATGAACAGGTAAGTCGCATGCCTTCGAACATTAATTTTAATTTTCATCACATTGGATCACTCAAATGTTAAAAAAAATCAAAAATTTTCTAAAAAAATTGTAAAAATATGTTTTTCAATATTTCAATTGTTTGTTATAATAATTGTAAATATTTACCAAATATTAATAAATTCTGAACAAGTAAATCTCCAAGCGTTCGAAAATTAATTTTAATTTTGATCACATTGGATAACTCAAATGTTAAAAAAGATCAAAAATTTTCTAAAAAAGTTGTAAAAATTTTATTTTGAGTATTTCAATTGTTTATTATAATAATTGTAAATATTTGACAATTAATAATAAATAATGAACAGGTAAGTCGCAAGCTTTCGAAAATTAATTTTAATTTTCATCACATTGGATCACTCAAATGTTTAAAAAAAATTCAAAAACTTTCTGAAATCATCATAAAAATTTGTTTTTCAATATTTCAATTGTTTATTATAATAATTGTAAATATTTGACAATTATTAATAAATTATGAACAGGTAAGTCGCATGCCTTCGAACATTAATTTTAATTTTCATCACATTGGATCACTCAAATGTTAAAAAAAATCAAAAATTTTCTAAAAAAATTGTAAAAATATGTTTTTCAATATTTCAATTGTTTGTTATAATAATTGTAAATATTTACCAAATATTAATAAATTCTGAACAAGTAAATCTCCAAGCGTTCGAAAATTAATTTTAATTTTGATCACATTGGATAACTCAAATGTTAAAAAAGATCAAAAATTTTCTAAAAAAGTTGTAAAAATTTTATTTTGAGTATTTCAATTGTTTATTATAATAATTGTAAATATTTGACAATTAATAATAAATTATGAACAGGTAAGTCGCAAGCTTTCGAAAATTAATTTTAATTTTCATCACATTGGATCACTCAAATGTTTAAAAAAAATTCAAAAACTTTCTGAAAACATCATAAAAAATTGATTTTTACTATTTCAATTGTTTATTATAATAATTGTAAGTAGTTGACAATTATTAATAAATTCTGAACAGGTAAGTCTCCATGCGTTCAAAAATTAATTTTAATATCGATCACATTGGATCACTGAAATGTTCAAAAAAATATTCTAAAATTTTCTAAAAAACATAAAAATTGTTTTTTTAATATTTCAATTGTTTATTACAATAATTGTAAATAGTTGAAAATTATTAATAAATTCTGAACAGGTAAGTCTGCATGCGTTCAAAAATTAATTTTAATTTTTATCACATTGGATCACTATAAAGTTAAAAAAAAAAATTCAAAAACTTTCTGAAAACTTCGTAAAAAATTGTTCTTCACTATTTCAATTGTTTATTATAATAATTTTAAATAGTTGACAATTATAAATAAATTCTGAACAGGTAAGTCTCCATGCGTTCGAAAATTAATTTTAATTTTAGAAAATTTTAGAATTTTTTTTGAACATTTGAGTGATCCAATGTGATCAATATTAAAATTAATTTTTGAACGCATGCAGACTTACCTGTTCAGAATTTATTAGTAATTGTCAAATATTTACAATTATTGTAATAAACAATTGAAATATTGAAAAACAAATTTTTATGCTTTTTCAGAAAATTTTAGAATATTTTTTGGAACATTTGATTGATCCAATGTGATTAAAATTAATTTTTGAACGCATGGAGACTTACCTGTCCAGAATTTATTAATAATTGTCAAATATGTACAATTATTATTATAAACAATTGAAATATTGAAACACAATTTTTTATGCTTTTTTAGAAAATTTTGGAATATTTTTTTGAACATTTGAGTGATCCAATGTGATCAATATTAATATTAATTTTCAAACGCATGCAGACTTACCTGTTCAGAATTTATTAATAATTGTCAACTATTTACAATTATTATAATAAACAATTTAAATAGTGAAAAACAACTTTTTATGAGGTTTTCAGAAAGTTTTTGAATTTTTTTTTAACTTTAGAGTGATCCAATGTGATCAAAATTAAAATTAATTTTTGAACATATGGAGACTTACCTGTTCAGAATTTATTAATAATTGTCAACTACTTACAATTATTGTAATAAACAATTGAAATATTGAAAAACAATTTTTTATGCTTTTTTAGAAAATTTTAGAATTTTTTTTGAACATTTGAGTGATCCAATGTGATCAAAATTAAAATTAATTTTCGAACGCTTGGAGATTTACTTGTTCAGAATTTATTAATAATTGTCAACTACTTACAATTACTATAATAAACAATTGAAATATTGAAAAACAATTTTTTATGCTTTTTTAGAAAATTTTAGGATTTTTTTTGAACATTTGAGTGATCCAATGTGATCAATATTAAAATTAATTTTTGAACGCATGCAGACTTACCTGTTCAGAATTTATTAGTAATTGTCAAATATTTACAATTATTGTAATAAACAATTGAAATATTGAAAAACAATTTTTTATGCTTTTTTAGAAAATTTTAGAATATTTTTTTGAACATTTGATTGATCCAATGTGATCAAAATTAAAATTAATTTTTGAACGGATGGAGACTTACCTGTCCAGAATTTATTAATAATTGTCAAATATGTACAATTATTATTATAAACAATTGAAATATTGAAACACAATTTTTTATGCTTTTTTAGAAAATTTTGGAATATTTTTTAGAACATTTGAGTGATCCAATGTAATCAAAATTAAAATTAATTATTAAAATTAATTATAATAACAATAATAATAATTATTATTATTAATATTATTATTATTATTATAATATGTCAATCAATCAATCAATCAATCAGTCAATCAATCAATCAATCAGCCTACGTGAGCCCGACCGGCCGGCCGTCAATGCTTTGCCGCCATGTTGCCTTGTGTTGCCTGTCACTTTCAATAGGAAACAGTGCACTTTTCGGGAATTTTTTTTTACTATTTTTACAATTAATTTTACTTGAATCAGAGAACAGCGCGGTCAGGTATATTCTGCTCTATCATTTTCCACCATTTTCAACCCGAAATATTAATTTGGTTCGCCAAATAATTGGATGTACGAAACCCTATTTTTCCATACTTCATCACGTGGGACTTTCCCACAATATAAATTCAAATATAAATTCAATTATATAAATATTTACATTTTATTAATATTTGATTACAGATGATTATGATTAACGAAGAACATCTCATTATCAATTGACGTTAATTATCATATAGTGTACCAAACATTTCGTTAATTCAATTACTCCAAATTCTAAACAATTCAAAACTTAATTATTGTACAATGTAACCAATTCAGAATTCAAATATTCCAAATGTTACTCAAACATAAATTTAATTACTCCACTTTCCAATCAAATTAAAATTAAATTATTTCCAATCATTTTCAAATAAAGACACAATTGTTCCACCCTGCAATCAATTAAAAAATGAACTTTTTTCAATTTCTTTCGATTCCAAACAGTAACAGTTAATTTTTTGTATTTTTTAAAAATTTTTAAATTATTAAATTTTGACTAATTGGCGTGTTAAATAACTGAGTACATAAATTATCAAAATTTAGAATAATTAGATTGTTAATTGATGGCAAAGTAGATTAATTGAATTTATAATTGATCACAGTTTGGAATAATTGAACTTTTATCCGATTAAAATCAATAACAATTTAATTTTTTATTTTTTAAAATTTGCAATAATTAAAATTTCAATTGACAGAAATTTTTAACAATTGCATTCACCATTTCTTTAAATTTGGAATAATTGAATTTTTAAGTGATTGGAGTGTCAAACAATTGAATGTACAAGAATTGAATTTTTAACTGAAAAAAATGTGAAATAATTGAATTTTTAATTGATTAAAACATAGAATATTTAAGTTTTTCAATGATTGGAGTGTGGAAGAATTGAATTTATAATTGATTAAAATTTGGAGTAATTGATTTCTTAATTTACTAAAATTTGAGTCATCGAGTTTTTAATTAATTGAATTTTGAAAAAACTGAAGTTCTAATTGATTGAAATTTTAAATTAATATTTGGAGTAATTAATTTTATTTGTAATAAATTAAAACTCAAAATTGAAGAAATATAAAGCAGATAAAAAAATTCTCAAAATAGGTGAAATAGGGGACAATTTAATGAAACAGGTGAAATAGGTGACCAAATTTGAAAAAGAAAAAAAAGGTGATAAAATGTCAGCCTGTGATCCCTGATATAATGTAAAATTCAAACCAAATTATTTAAAACTTAAAATTTTCAGGAACAAAAATTAAAATTCCAGAACTTTTCACTAAACTTCAGGACAATTTTTAAAATTCAAGGATATTTCCAGGACTTCCATAACCAGTAGACACCCTGTTACATTCCGATAAACAAACGTTAAATAATAAATATTAATAACTAATTACTTAGAATAAAAATAAAACACACTTTAAACTTACAACATAAAGTAAATTCTGCAAAAACATTTAAAAACCACTTATTTTCTATTTACATTCTTAAATTAAAAAGGTAAATGTGCAGACACGTTTTTCACTGTAAAAATAGTTTTAGCACACAACAAAAGTTATACAACAGTTTCAATATTTTTAATTAAAGTAAGGCATTGTTTGTTTATCACTTTACCCCACTTCGCACTTTACCCCTCAATCCCATATTGAAAGATACCGGAAAGAATTTCAACGTCTTCTTGTCTCGAATAACATTTCGGCAATAGCGTCCCTCTTAATTTGGGCAGGAAGATTGATTCTCTCATTTTCAAGGGGATCAAGATCATCTTCTTCAATAGGGTCGAGTTCGTTCAAAATCTCCTCGTTTACTTCGTCATCTAGGTCGAGACAAATGTTGTGCAGCACACAACACGCAGCAATGATCAAAGATCCATTTTTGATCTTTTGCAAATATAAATATTTTAATCTGCGACAACGACCTTTCAGCAAACCATATCCCCTTTCGACGACAACTCGATGTTTCGACAGAACCGTATTATAATGTCTTTGTACAGCCGTCATGTTGCCGTAATCTTTATAGGGGACCATTAAAAAAGACTGGACACCATAGGCCGAGTCGCCGAGCATGTGACTGTCACCAGGAAAGTAACGCTCCTTGTCAACTTCAATGGCTTCTTTAATGTCGCTCAAGTTCCAGACACGGGCATCATGAACACTTCCGCAAATGCCAGCATAAATGTTTATAAAACGTAAATTGGCATCGCAAATCCCTTGCAGCAACAAAGAATGAAAGTTCTTTCGACAAAAATAGCTGTCAGGATTTTCTGAGGGAGCACTAATTTGAATGTGGCATCCATCAATGGCCCCAATGACATTAGGAAACCCACTGATTTCCTCAAATTCCTCTTGAACTCTTCGCAGCTCACGTCCTTGTGGCCATCTTATATAATCTCCCGACCTTTCGCACAGCGCGCGGCACACTTTCATGGTGCAACGCCACGCCGTGTTGATGGAAACCCCAAAGCGATCAGCGACAGATCTAAAAGAAATAAATAATAATAAATAATCAGCTGTAAATAATAATTTTTTTTAGAAACAGAAATTGCAAAAATATTTGCAAATCTAAATTCTTTAAATTGAAGTCCATATAATTTTCACACAAATTTTTTCGAGCGATTGTTATTTTGTTCAACTCGAGATTTAACATTTCAGACACTACCTCGATATTAGGAACCTAGAAAAAAAGGTTAAAGATCAAGTTAAACAAAAATATTCCTCAATTTGCAAATATTCAATTTAAAATCGAGAAAATCTCAAAAATAAAATGTCAAATTTTTGAAAAAAAATTTCGATTTTTAAAATTTAACTTTTTTGACACAATCTTGATGTGAGCAAACTAAAAAAAAGGTTTAGGATCAAGTCGAGCAGTAATATTCTCTAAATAGCGTTTTTTTCGATTTTAAATCGGCGAAATGTCCAAAATAAAATTTTAAATTTTGGAAAAAAAATTTCGGTTTTTTGTTTTCAATTTTTTAGAAACTCTCTCGGTATGGGAATCCTAGAAAAAAAGGTTTAGGATCAAGTCGAGCAGTAGTATTCTCTAAATAGCGATTTTTCGATGTTAAATCGGCGAAATGTCCAAAATAAAATGTCAAATTTTGGAAAAAAATTTCAGTTTTTTGGTTTTACTTTTTTAGAAACTCTCTCGATATGGGAAACCTAGAAAAAAGGTTTGGGATCAAGACGAGCAAAAATATTCTTTAAATAGCGAATTTTTGATTTTAAATCGGCGAAATGTCCACAATAAAATGTCAAATTTTGGAAAAAAAATTTCGGTTTTCTAGATTTAATTTTTTAGATACTCCTTCGATATGCGGAACCTAGAAAAAAAGGTTTGGGATCAAGTCGAGCAGTAATATTCACTAAATAGCGATTTTTCGATGGTAAATCGGCGAAATGTCCAAAATAAAAAGTCAAATTTCGGGAAAAAAATTTCGGTTTTTTGTTTTTAATTTTTAAGAAACTCTCTCGATAAGGGGAACCTAGAAAAAAAGGATTGGGATCAAGTCGACCAGTAGTATTCTCTAAATAGCGTTTTTTTCGATTTTAAATCGGCGTAATGTCCACAATAATATATCAAATTTCGAGAAAAAAATTTCGGTTTTTTGTTTTCAATTTTTTAGAAACTCTCTCGATATGGGGAACCTAGAAAAAATGGTTTGGGATCAAGTTGAGCAATAATATTCTTTAAATAGCGAATTTTTGATTTTAAATCGGCGAAATGTCCACAATAAAATGTCAAATTTTGGAAAAAAAATTTCGGTTTTCTAGATTTAATTTTTTAGATACTTTCTCGATATAAGGAACCTAGAAGAAAAGGTTTGGGATCAAGTCGAGCAATGATATTCTCTAAATAGTATTTTTTCGATTTTAAATCGGCAAAATGTCCAAAATAAAATGTCAAATTTTGGGAAAAAATTTTAGTTTTCCAGATTTAAATTTTTAAACAATTCTTTGGTATGGGTAACCTAGAAAAAAATGTTTGGGATCAAGTCGAGCAGTAGTATTCTCTAAATAGCGATTTTTCGATGTTAAATCGGCGAAATGTCCAAAATAAAATGTCAAATTTTGGAAAAAAATTTCAGTTTTTTGGTTTTACTTTTTTAGAAACTCTCTCGATATGGGAAACCTACAAAAAAAGGTTTGGGATCAAGACGAGCAAAAATATTCTTTAAATAGCGAATTTTTGATTTTAAATCGGCGAAATGTTCACAATAAAATGTCAAATTTTGGGAAAAAAATTTCGGTTTTTTGGTTTTAATTTTTTAGAAACTCTCTCGATATTTTGAACTTAGAAAAAAGGTTTGAAATCAAGTCGAGCAAAAGTTTTCTCTAAATTGCGAATAGTGAATTTCAAATTAATTTTAAATTCGGTAAATCTCGAAATTAAAATGTCAAATTTTTGGAAAAAAATTCGGTTTTTTCTTCTCTAGTTTCTGAACCCTGTTTTAATATGGGAAATGAAGAAATAAATGTTTTGGATCAAGTCGAGCAGAAATATTTCTTAAATTGCGATTATTTACTTTGGAGTCAACAAAATCTCTAGATTAAAATGTAATATTTTTGGAAAAAAAACTAAGAATTTGTTATATACTTTTTTAACTTTTTGTCAATATATGGAATAAAGAAATGAATGTTTATGTCAAGTTGAGCAAAAATCTTCCTCAAATAGCGATTTTTCATTTTTAAATTGACGAAAACTCTAAATTTGAATGTCAAGTTTTCAATAAAAGTTGTTTGAAGGATGAAATCTAGAAATTGGCACTAATTGAGGAATTTATTTTAAGAAGCGATATTATTTTTACATGTTGGATTACAAAAGGTAGATCTTGTTTATAATAAAAATTAAAAAATTAAATACTAATCAAATTTACTATAGGCACGATCCTTGTGAGGAAAATCCTCACCTTGTGACTGACTGCGGGTTATTGAATTTAATATATTAACAAATCATACCTGTATACTTCTAGATTGCATAACAACCATACAGCTATGCATAATTGCTTCTCCGGATCTGTGGTTTGTTCTGCATTCCTCCAATCAATCAGCGATGGAGCAAGAGTTTCCAACAAATTTTGAAACGTTCGCCGAGTCATTCGAAAATGTGATTTGAAGTCTGCAAAATTAACAAAAGAATTTCACTTCTATCCATAATATTAAGAAACTTTTATTGAGTAGAAGCAACAGATAAAAATTCAAATTTGTTTAAAAAAAACTTATCATTACATAAATATATTGACTTGAGAATCGAAAATTATTGAAACTTGTAAACAACATAACAGGGCGAAAAAAAATTTTTTTTTCTGTAAAATTGTTTTTTAATTTTTGTATACCCAGACACTATTGAAGGAAATACGAAAATTTTAATTTTTATTCTATTTAAGATATAAAATTAAAAAAAATTTATGAAGATCTTTATAAAAACTATAGCGCAGGGATCGCAGTACCTTTTTTTTATTAAAATAGGGGAAAAAGTGAATAATTTTTTAAAAATAGGTTACCAAAAGGTGACAACAAATTTACTCAAAACACTTCAATACGCTGTCAAAGGCTTTAAATGTGTTTTTTAAAGAATTTCTTTAAAAAATAATTATAATAATTTTTTAATAAAAAAAAATCGTCAATATTAAAACTGAAAAATTTTTTTAAGAACGAATCTAACAATAAAATAAATTTTCAAAAATTATTTCGAATTTCAAACACTTTAAAATTCAATTATTCGACATTTCAATCGATTAAAAATTACATTATTCCAAATTTTAACCAATTTAAAACTCAATTATTCTAAATTGTAGTTTAATAAAAAAATTCAATTATTTCATACCAACGTCTATCATAAATGCAATTATTACATCTTCCAATCAATTAAAAACTGAATTATTTAAAGATTCCAATCAATTGAAAATTCTTTTAGTAGAAATGTTACTAAAATATAAATTTAATTATTCCATGTACACTAATCTATTAAACAATATAATTAATTAAAATACTTACCTGATATTGAATATCGTGGAATTATTTCCTCAAAATAACCTCTAATTTTTTCATGCACCTCTTTCGTCATTGCGATTAAAATTTCTTCAGCGTCGTCATCGGCAAAAATTATATTTGGGATTGCACTCAGGACAATTGGGTCGATTAAACCCAAACCAAAAATTTCGGCCATGCTTCAAAAAGCAAATTTTAAAAAAATTCGTTGGATGTTTACAACGCTCTGATCCAACGGATTCACGCTCGGTAGGTTAGAGACCGAGCGTCGAGCCAGAGCACGAGAACTGCCTGAACATAGTCTATTTAGGGGAAAATAAAAAGTTACAACTACTTTTTGGTTACATGTCACCATAAACTGCAGCCTGTATCACAAGCACGTCAGGCTCAGTGTGTTTTAGCCAATCAGAATTTACCATTTAATTAATCTATATTTGACATTGTTTGAGAACCCCTTGCTCATTTCAGAGCACTCAGAGTGACAGGATCGAAAACACCCTTAGTTATTTTCTTTACTATGTATATATGTGATTAATTTATTTTACGGGTGTTTTTGTGGAAATGTGTGTTTCATTTTTTTAAACGGAATTTGAGATGGCGGTTAACTGAGAGTAAGACTATAAGCACCTGTAAGTTATTCTTCTTTCCCGAGAAATTTATAATTATTTTTTAGTAATTACAAATTTTTACCTATATTTTCATAACTTTTTTGCAAGCAACTTTAAAAATTCTCTGTTAAAATATAACTACATTCATTTTAATTTTTGTAAATTGATGTTCTTTCCGGATTTTGATTTTCTTTTTCAGTAGTAACTACAATTTTCTCAAATTCTAGTAATTTTTTACATCAATTTTTTTCTTTTAGTAATTATATTTTTGAACCATTTTTTCAAAATTTTGCAAAATTGTTTTTCAGATGAGAAATTATAACTTTTCAGATGAGAAGCTATAACTTTTCAGATCTGAAAATACTACTTTTCAGATGAGAAGTTATTATTTTTCAGATCTGAAAATACAGTTTTTCAGATGAGAAATTATTATTTTTCAGATCTGAAAATACTGCTTTTCAGATGAGAAATTATAACTTTTCAGATCTGAAAATACTGCTTTTCAGATCAGAAATGATTATTTTTCATATCTGAAAAGACCGTTTTTCAGATGAGAAGTTATTATTTTTCAGATCTGAAAATACAGTTTTTCAGATGAGAAATTATTATTTTTCAGATCTGAAAATACTGCTTTTCAGATGAGAAATTATAACTTTTCAGATCTGAAAATACTGCTTTTCAGATCAGAAGCTATAACATTTCAGATCTGAAAATACTACTTCTAAAAAGTTATAATTTCACATCTGAAAAGTAGTATTATCAGATCTGAAAAGTTATAATTTCATATCTGAAAAGTAGTATTTTCATATCTGAAAAGTTATAATTTCACAT